AAAATTGATTGACCCCATCATCACGTTTTCTTTGCAAAGTTCAACAAATTCTTCCACAAAGCTATCAAAAAGTTCATACAAAGTCTGCGGAAGATTTTCCTTAATCTTCCAATGGTTCTCAAATTGTTCTTCGACGTGACATAATGTACCACAAAAATTATTCGAATCTAACCAAATCATATTAGCCCAAGTTTTTTTACAAATAATCTTCAATGCTTGAAATATTGGTTTTTGTTTGATATATCTCAAGATAAAATCTCGATATTGGTTGGCAACATTTAATTCACTCTTATTCGTTGCTATTATTATCTTGTAAAGGTTACTATAAACGATTTCAACACCAGAATTTCTAAATTCGGCAATAAGTTGCATGACCTAAAAGAATTGTTATTGAATATTATGACTCGCAGATAAATATATTAATGAAATATATCATGATACCTACCACCTTGCTCATCAGAGTATGTATAACTCCACAAATATTGTGGTCATAGAAATTTGAATTAACCGCACTAATCCAAATTTGTAAATTACGAATAAGGATACTTGCGATTCCGTTCTGTGGATTGGACGCCTCGGTATACCAATCTTTAACCAATGATTTAAGTACCGAAAATGTAGCCAGAGGCATCTCGTCCCCAAAAAGTTGTATTGATCCTTCACTTTGATTAATCCATGATGATTCTATAATAGTGTTCACAAACAAATCATCTAGTTGAATTTCAAAACATATATTCATGTGTATTCCCGGTGTGTTAACAAACCCACAATTTCCACTTTCACCAGAAAGATGCAAATATTCAAAAAATTCATCTTGCTCACGTCCTCCATGATCTGGTTTGCGATAAGGTGACCACCAAAGAATGATGTCATTTTTAATTAATCTCCTAGCAAATAACACATCCGAAATGAAAATCGAACTGTCATTATTAAGATTACAAAGGGGTATCCTTGCGTATCTTGCCTTTTTAATTCGTTGCGTGATTATTTGTCCAACGATAAGATATTTAGTTATCATGCGCGAAAAAGCATATCGTTGCCAATTCAATGAAGGCAAATTATCATTTTCATTTAAGTTTATATACATCGAAGGAAATTCTAAAAGGGCTTTAACCCCTTCCTCGATTAGGTTACATAACGTAAATGATGACTGAACTACCAAAATAGTCGGCCCATGTCTTCCTTCTTTATATTCCTTAATCTCTCTGGATAATTTTTTCGCAAATGTTTTTTTATCATCTCTGACATGCGTAGACACTTCAAAACTGAGTTCTTCATGATATTTAAATACCTCATTGTCATAGCGAGGATCATTTCTCATCCTTTCCAAGATATTGGCATAAGCATTAGGTAAATGTGGCAAATGTGATTTGACTTTGCTTTTTTCTACCAAGAAGATATGCGCTTTGTTGCGTACTGTAGAAAATAAGCCATAAAGATGGCGATCACCAGACATGATATGGCATAAATATAAATAATTAAAAGAATGCTCTTCTAAGTATGGTGTTTTATGAAAGACTTCCGTTTTTATAATATCCTGTAAATTCATTCCCTTTCGAGGTGCTGTTTTAAAAATATTGGATTTTACGCTGTCTTTGCTGATAATACATCCAATTTCTATTATCGCTCGGTCTAGTGATGTGATTCGAGTCTCATAAACACCTTCAACAAGAGGATCGTTGAAGATATTTAGTAGCAATTGTTGATTCTGCCAATAGATAGGTTCTGGCATTATAACTTCAAATAAGTTGTATCGTTCATGTGTCCCTGGCAACGTTCGACTTACTCTAGAAATACTTCCTTTATCATTAACAATTTTTTCTACTTCATCCGGAAGATTTTGTAGTTTATAATTAACGTAAACCTTTTTAGGAACAGTAAGACGAATTGCATGTATCGCATGACCTATTAAAACCCACATACGGAATTCCCCTGGAGTGTCCGTATTAATTATTTGTAGAATTTCCCAACGATTTTTTTGAACACAAAAGTTTTCGAGTGTAGACTTTTTAGAATTTTTGTCTTTCTTCTTTTTTGTAGTTACAACTGTTTTTTGACTCATGTCTTCATCAACTTTTTGACGTTTTGAAGATGGATTATCAACTATCTCTGTATCGTCATCGCCATCATGTTGCGGTTCGTCAAGTACCATCAATTCTTCCTCTTGAGTTGGCTTGTCGGAACATGATTTCTCGATTGGTCTTTTTTTGTAGTTTGGTATAGACACATTTGAATTAGATGTTCCAAAATCTTCGATATCATCAATATCATTAACATCATTAATATCATTTGACGGATCATTATGTGATAATCCGGTATCAATATTATCAGTGTTTCGTGATTCATCATTTTCGTAATTATCCACAACCATATCTTCTGTTCTATTTTCGTAATTAATTTCATCCACAACCATATCATCTGTTCTTCGAAACATATCAGTAATGCGTCTTTGCCGATTTTTATCACTATTTATTGACAATTTTTTGCGAAGCCAATCAGGATGCTTTAACCGCGGAATAGGATTTTCAACATTCTGTGCTGTTGCGGGAATTGTAATAAGTTTTTGAATAGCAGATCCGAGACGTTCATAATAATAAGTCCAATCTAAGATATTACGAATGTCAAAATTATCCATTCTAGGATCCTTAAGCCATTTCCGTAAATAATGCCTCTTTACATTTTCCTCAGCTGAAAATATCGCTATTGGAATCACTCGTTCACTTATTGCATCTCCTAAAGGTTTGGCTGATACAATAAAGTGGCATGTCAACTTATTGTCTTTGACCATTTCCGTACCCAGGAATTCTGCCAAACGTTTGGCGGCAGTAATAGATGTAGATTTTTGATCTCCATAATCTTCCAGAGCACGTGACATCCCTCGCTTTTCACTAATACTATCTATCAACTCTTCATCAGAGAGAGTGGCACCCTTTTGTTCGAGCACATCCAAAAAAGCATTTGCAACTTTTCCAACTTCAGCATAACAATCATTTAACGTTTTTCCTCGTAGAAAAACTTGAAATATGACTTCTTGAAAGTTTTTTAAAAGTTTGAGTTCGCCACGCCGTTTCACTTCAAATCCTTTCAACTCTTGTAACGTACCGTCATGTGCAAATACAGCATAACGTTTCTTCAAAAGTTTATTTTCTTCTAAGGAAGAAGGTAATATCATCGCTCTATATGGTCCATCAACTTCGAAAAATATACTGTTCTCTTTTCCAATCTCATATTCATTTGTTATACTAGACAGCCTTTGATATTGATCATTGGTGAATTTTTGATGAACTAAATAATTCAACATTGTGCAAGGATATGATATGGAAAATGTTTTTCCAGAAGATAATTTAAATGTAACATTTTCCGGAAATATTGAAGGAAGAACACACCAAATTCCATCTGTATCAAGTTCAAGAGGTCTTCCGACTTTTTCAATCAATTGTCTGGCAGTTTGAATAATTTTTGCACCTGTATCACATACTATCCCGGCCATTTCCATTGAATACCATCGAGATCCTTTGCGCATGACATAACCATAAAAAGAGTTAAGGAGACATTTGTGAGCAAGTTGTAAAGAGTCATATAAAATTATCATTTTTTTAGCTTCTTCAATCTTTACAAGGTCTTCATATTTTGTTGCTTCTGCCAGCTTCTTTTTCCATTCTTTAACATCATGTTTGTATTTATATCTCCGATCACGAAAACTCAGAACAGTATTAACATAAAATGGGTTTTCACGTTGACAAACTATGGCCTCTCGTTGCTCCACCTCTGTCTCTTTTTTTCTTTTGTATACAGTCTGACAATAATCACCAAGACGTTTCTTCAAAATTGCTGTTTGTTCTTCTAGACTTAAAAGGTAATAAGAACGTCCTTTGTCTCCCGGATTTTTTCCGGGAAATGTTTCAGACATTAATTGCTTCTTAATCATTTTATATTCATTTGTCTTTGCAGGATAAAAATCTCCCCGCCATGACCATGTCATTCTTCTATCACATTTTTTCCCAGGAACATTATAATCGCATCTAAGACACACGTCTTCAGCGACAATCGAATCGGGTTGAAGTCGATTAGTGAGAATTATATTTGGATACATGGCAGCAACATCTAAATGATAAATTAGAGGCGTTTGCTCAAGTGGTTGTTCTCCTTGTTTAAGAGATTCAAGAGCGGATATAATTTGCGATCGGACCTTTGTATTTTCATGCAATTGTTTATTAAATTGGATTTAATAAGCTTGAAAAGTAAAAACTTTTATTCTTTACCTCATCATAATTCGTGATCTCCGTTAACTTTTCATCGATAATTTGTTTTCGAGCCTATAAAAATATGCATAAAATGATTAATAGTGTAAATAATATTTGAAACATTACAAGGAATGACTTGTATAAACTAGGATTACTTGATCCCGCATATTAAAAGCAGATTCAATATTTCTTTCTGTTTCTTTGAATGTTTCCCAAATTGCAAACTCCAATGCAACATCTATATCATCAATTAGCTAATATAACCAAAATAATGTCAATATTGTTTTATAATGGTATTCTCTCTTGCAAACACTTATAATAACCTGCTGGATAGCTGCATGATCAATATTGAAACTGACTGGTATATCCGACCGGAAAACACCTGCTTCTAATGCATCAACATGGCCACCAATATATGTTTCATCTTGGAGGAGATGGTCTTTAAAGAACATTTCATCATTTTCCTCGTGTTTATTTGGCATTATGATGTTGGCACGGTATGCTTCCACCTATGACAACATTATATTGTACCTTGTTTAATAATCAAACTACATTATATAATTATTTATAAAATTCGAAATGGACTTTAACCATTAATAATGCTTCACATAGAGTTCCGGTTCCTTTTCGCAATATATCATCCGGATTTAATGGGATAATATTACAAAGTGAAAAAATAAACGGATGGATATATTCAGTGTATAAATAATACGTCGCCACTGCATCAGAAACAGAATATCGTGCCAAAGTGTGTGGTTTCTCATACGCAAACCTATAATTAAAAAATGTTAAAAATAATCTAAAGGACTAGATTTTTTCATTTAAGCATATTTACTTTGTCATAACTTCTGGATCTAGTTCATCAGGATTATAACCCAATTTAGCATGAGTAACATTCTTTAAACCCTGACTACCAACAGGAAGATAGCTGTCTCTTTTCACCCAATGTAGACAATCCATATGTAAACAATGCTTGCTTACATACTCATCATTCATATTTTTTTTAAAGCCAATTTCCTATTAAATAAAATAATATCATTAAAAAAAAAATACTAATATTTAAAATTTTCATTTTAGCCTTATTTACTTTATACATATTGATACCATATTTCGAAGCTCTGCCTTCAACATAAGGCCAATCAAAATTATCACCATTATACGTTACAATTATGGTTGGCTTTTGTTCTTGGATATGCTTAAAAAAACGCTCGAGTAACGCTCTCTAATTATATAAACACGACAATATACTGGATAAGTTTAGAGATTTATAATTTTATCTTTTTAATCCTTAACAAACTCAACTTTTTCTTTTTTGAATACAATAAAAAAAATTTTAACGACTTAGACATGCATGCGTTATTCAACTTACCTCACTCGGTTCATTAAATATTTTAAAAAATCCCTTGTATTGAGTGGATGGTGAATATTCAATTTCTTCAATATCTTCAGAAACGATATCACGATTAACGATAAGAAATCCCTATTAACAATTATGCAACATATAATAATTTTCTAAATATCTATTCGACAAAAAGTCAGGTCACTAAATAGTAAAGTACCATGCCATTTATCATGTAAGATATCATCATTATGGGGTCATTGGCAGAGTCAGGAAATTTGAGGGGTTTTTTTGAAGTTTCAATATCATATGCGAGAATAACTGGATCTCCACGTTGTTTTATGTCTTCGCGATGATGCATTGTAATCAACGCCCCATCATCTTGGGGAAAGGCTGTGACAGTATACCACTGACCAACTCTATAGCCTTTTAAATAGGAAGCTTTATTTAAGCAAAAAAATCCTAAAAATCGATCCGAAATAAATATTATGAACATTACCAAGGTCCATAGCAGCCCGTTGATAATAAGGTATATCATATTCACGAAGATCAATAATATCGTCTAATACTTTATCTTTTTGCCCGGCTTCTGAATATTTACTGCCATAATCACTATAACGTTAAAGTTATAAATGTTAAACTATGTTAGACTATTGAGTATTACATTAATGCACCAACAATTTTACCTTGTATTATTTCCATATATGTTTACAATATTCAAATTTTTACGGTTTTCGGTTGCAATACGAAAAAGTTGATTACGCACTGTCACTAATTCTATGACGTTCCAAAACTCGAGTTTTATATAAATTTGTTCACCATTTATTAGATGATTTGCCTAGGCAAATAGAATTTATTTTAATCATATTACTCAAAAATAACTGAAATAAAATTCGAGGTGATAATACCTTTTTTAGATCTTGCTTGACCACATATGATACTTTGTATATATATTGGTCATATTTCCTTCCTAAATATTCTCCAACGGTATGTTCCGTTCCGGGCTATTAAACCAATGAAATTAAGTATTGTAAATATATTAACAGCTAAACAACTTTTAAATATATTTCTCACCTGACATTGAACATAAAAATATGGATAATAATATATTGTACATCTGAAGTATTCATCTATTCCAGCTTGAGGCTCTATAAAAAAAAGATCGAATGCTGTTCTACCGGACGAATGTTGTTGGCTGGGTATAATAGTCTATGATTTTTACCGTCAAATTATAATAATTTATTACAAAATTTAAAGGTTTACTTTAAAATTCGATAAAAAAAAAAGCCTACTAACACCACTCATATTAATGAGCCACCCCAAACGTGGAGGACCATTGTCGTATTTTTTGAAGCCAAGCTTATCAAGGATATTAGTTTCTTCCAAGATTTGTAATGTTTTTTTTTTTTCTTTAGTGTAATTTGTGACTTGCCGTGTTCTAAACATTTTTAAACCGATATAGAGTTGAATTAAGACGCGTTTCAATTTGTGAAACAAATTTTGCACATAACGTTCAATGTTACACGGGATAGTGGGCTTTATTGCAATTGGTCATCTTTTTGTCATAAGCTTCTAACCACGAATACGAATTCGCAAAAATTAGAAATATCCTTTCACCCTATAAAGTGTTAAAATGATTTGGTAATTGACAAGTTAATCTGAAATTTAATTATGTTTAGGCATTTTTACAGTATTAATGGTTTACTGCTACCAGAAATTTTAAATAGTTTAGTACCCATGGCGAAACTACGGAATGATTTTACATCAAGGGACGCCAAACAAATATGTAATGTCCTATGTATTTAAGTTTTGCTTAATTGTATTTATTTTTGATGGCATTTAAGAACTAAATCTTGTAAGGTTAAAGTTGAGGACTTTACTTATATTGATTTCTGGATTCTTATATTTCTTTATAAAATTAATTATAATATTACAGATAGAATTCGTTATTATGTGATCCCTCATAACATAATTTACTGATATTGCAGTTTTATTGTCGTTACTTTCATAATTTTGTAGATTATGTATAGTGAACACGAAAACTGAATGTATGTTACGTATATTAAGTTAGACGACTATTATTATAAAGCCAAATTTTAACCAGTGAACTGTAAAAGTATAAGCCTTGAAAAATCGGAAATACAAAAGAAGTTATGTAAGTTTCAAAAAAAGACAAGCGTATGACATATATACGTATAATAATATATAAAGTAATACTGCAGATAATTAAGGTTAGGATTAAAACTATTTCATGTTAACATTTTAGGATAAGGTATAAGTTTATATGAATAATTCAAATGTTAAAAGAGTCTGATCAACTGTCATATGAGGTAAAACCTCGATGTTTTTTTTTTTGCTAAACTCAGCCATGGTCCGAAACATATGTACCACATATGTTTCGGATCACAGCTGAGTTTAACAAAAAAAAAAACATCGAGGTTTTCCTAGTGTTGTTAGTCGATCGACTAATAGTCGACTAACTGAGCCATCGGCTAAGTCGTCGGCTTAGTCGACTAAGTCAT